CCTGGCATTGCCCGTATCCGATTGAACAGGCGAAAGACCATCCCTCTGGTAGGACCCACGAGCATTCGATAGTGCTCGGACTCTATGTCGTGGACAACTATCGGCTTCACATCGCCTGAAGCCTCGAGGGGGGCGACACTGCTGTATAAGTAACCAGAGTAGTTAGGACCGTTACTGGAGCTGCTACAATAACTGTCTTGGGAATCAAACGAACCGGTCATACAGAAAAAAATCGGAATAAGCACAGAGTGATTTGGGCTGTAGTGAGAAACGATTATGTATAGCGTGAATAACTCCGTAAAGTGAGTGTTTTTCCTCTAACGTTTTAGGCTGTTCAATTCCAGCGCAGTTTGCAAACAACCTGGGTGAGACAAGTGGCCATGGACGCCCACAGTATTGACGTGGCATTGGAATTCTTTGAAGGGCACGGATCCACCCTGAGCCCGCAGGAAATCCTAACCATCAGGGTTGGACTCGATCAACTGAAATACGACAGTAAATTTGACAAGGTAGTGGTGGTTGTTGACCCTACACTTCTATCCTTTTTTAACAGGTACACTTTTGAGGGCGCATCTCTGGTCCTAAGGGCTCTTACTACATAGCACATGGATTCAGGCTGAGCTGTGATGCCTTGCCCAAGAAAGAGTCGTATTTCAGTACTTCTACTACTGCGGGTAGTACCCGAGTGGCTGCTGCAGTGCTTGCTAGACTTCTTGCAGCTGCTTGAGGTGGCTGAATCTTACGAGGATATTGAGAAGTCGTTGGTTAACCACAGCATACCTTTCATCGGCGTCCCGTCGATGTAATAAGGACAGTTTACATGGTCATCACGTTTCCACCCTCGGTATTTTTCCAATCTGTAGTAAGTCTAGATCGTTAGGCTCGTCGCCAACGAAAAGCTTATAGCTCGCCGTGGCATCTTTGGCTGCTCGGGTTCTTACCAACAACAGGTCACCGACCTCACGCCCTTAGGCAGCTGTGCACTGTAGTAGTATTTACGACATGTGGGCACTGCAGGGCACCCGAATCCCTGCCCGTGTCAATTGATATGAACAAAAACCATTTAGAAGATATATCCTCTCAGTATTGTGTTCGGACGCGCCTGGTTCGGTATTGTCGCTCTGCGGCATAAGACAACTACGGCGTGCCTTAGGCGTATCTCGTGTGTACCATCTCCCATGTCTAGCACTACCATATCACAGCTTTCATCGCGCTTAGCCCGAGAAGAGCCCTTCCTGAGTGCTGCCAAGACACCTGTGAAATCTCGGGCAATGGTTGGGTGTATTGTCAGGCCGGGTTCGCAGTCTGGGGACTCGGCAGAAATGCTTATTATACTGCGGGCAATTAGAGAGAACGATCCGTGGTCTGGCCAGACTGCCTTCCCCGGTGGTCGCTGTGAGATCGATGATAACGGTGATGATATGGTGACAGTGGTACGGGAAGTATGGGAGGAAATAGGAGTAGACTTGTCGGACAAGACGCACTATAGAGTGCTTGGTCGTGTGAGCGATATAGAGGTCTATCGTGGGGGCAGGGTACATATGGTAGTCGGGTGTATAGTCTTCGAGCAAATAGTGCCGCCCGAATCCCTCACGTTGGCCCCTCTAGAAGTAGCTGCGTGTGGATGGGTACCGCTTTCTACAGTGGGCTGTGCTACC